TGGGATGTTTTTTGTTAATATGCTTTTAAAACTATTAAACTGTGATAAAAAAAAAATCCATATGAAGTTTAGTTTAGTTTGCGAGTTAAAACAGTAACCTAAAGGCCGCTTTCTGTCTCAACGACTTCCCGGCTTCAGCTTCCAGTCGTAGTTTTTCTGTTTTGGTTTAAATGTTAAAGATGCAATAAATGTGTGAAACCAGATGCAGCTTGTTCGTTGTGTTTTGTTTCAGCAAGAAGTCGACGAGGCTTCTGTAAATTCAGACACGTCATAGGTGCAACATTTCACATGTTATCACGCCAGTTTTTCCAAATCTGCTTCTTACAAATACAAACAAATAGAGGACTAAATCATTAAAAACTTATAAAGAGCTGGTGAATTTCAGTTGTTTGACAGCTTCCTCATTAAAGGAAAGTAACAGTCCTTCAAATATCTGTAAAAAGATGCCACCTCTGATGAACTGGACATCTCTTTATGAACAACCTTCAGTTTAAAGGTTTAATCCTCACGTCTATCTTTTCTGAAAGTCTTTATTGTGTTTAATATTTGATCCTATTTCAGTGAGAGTCCTCTCTGTTTCTCTGATCTGCTCCTGTTTTAATCTGATGCAAACTCAACAAAACATCCTTCATGTTCAGCACAATGTCCAGACTGACGTTTACTGTAATCCTGATCTTTAACGTCAAACACACTGCGTGCAGAAACTGACAGTTTAAAAACATCTGTTGTTCTGTCTGGACCTGAAACTCTTTTATTTTTTAATTATCATTTATTTAACCAGACAAACGGACAGCAACATTCACAAACGGGGCGACAGCCTGTTACAGGCAAAAACAATTCACAAACAGGTAATAATACTAAAATAAGAACAGACACAATTAACAAAGTAATTTTACTCAAGTACTGATCTTAAGAAAGCAGTTTTCACTTTTTACTGCACTATATTTCTCTGACAGCTGCAGTTACGTTGCAGATTCAGCTGATGCCTGCGGTAAATTTGTGCTGTTTGGTGTTTGCAGTGGAGAGTTTGGAGTAACGAGCTTGAGGTAATTGGAGACAGAATTTTGTTCTCAAAGCAACTTTGTCTTCATTGTGGCTTGATTCTCATAATGTGCTTTTTATTGGTAATGTTACGGGCCCCGGGCCCCGGGCCCCAGGGCGTGTGGACAGATTATAAAACCTGTAAAACAGGAGAAATGAACAACACTGGAAACTTGCTGCCGTAGGTCTTGACGGTCTTACCAGAATTTATTTAAGTCGATCAATAAAGTCTTTTTTTCACGTCACTCATTTTCCAACTAAGTTACTAAATTACAATAAGTTAACAACATGTATCTATCAAAAAAAACAGTTTCATACACGAATATGATAAATAATCCACCTACTCATCGTACCTTGTTCGACCCATTAGAAGGGAATGTGAACCTCTCACATAACAGTGGGAAAATAAATCTTTCCTATATTATCAGGGAATGTAAACCTTTTTTATTTTATATTAACAGGCTAAATAAACTTTATTGCAATAGCTCTGTACTAACTGACAAAGACATTGCTTTCCTCAAATTACCTGCGGTTTACAATGTTCCAGGCAAGATAATGACATTTAATAAATAACCAACAAAAATACTTATTTTTATAAACAAAATACTATTAAAACACTTTGAATATAAAAGTAAGAAAATGCCCAGGAGCTGGAAACATTAACGGTGGACATTTACATTGACTAAAGAGCGGGAGTGCTTGTTTTCATTCTTAACGGGCGTCCACAGAGCAGAGTGAAAGTAACTTATAATCAAATAACACAGTCAATACGAAAACAACTTAAACACAAGAGATAATGATTCACTAAGCCTAATTATCATTTTTGTGCTTTTGTGTAACTCACTGACCTGTAAAACAGGAGAAGTGAACAACACTGGAAACTTGCCTCGTTGGTTTTGGCGGTCTTATCAGAATGGCATGATTACGACAGCTACATCGTCAAAACAGCGGCCAACCGGCAGCAGGAAAGCGCTCTGCTGGCCCCTACTGTCTGAGAGGAGTACATATTCGTAATGCTAAACATTGGAGGACTTTAGTTACTCAACATCAAATTTATATACAGTGTTACAAAACAAAAGATATTGTTAAATTAAACCAAAGATTAAAGGTGACCATATATTTTGTGTGCGTCACAGTAATATTACATCTTTTTCTTTATAAATTATAATTTTATTCTGAAATATTAAAGGGCCTATATGTAGTTTTTCAATAAATCACAGGGCCAGAACTGTGACAGTGACTGTAACTTTACCAGGTTGCATATTTCTTGTTGCTAAGTGTTGCTAACTTGACCGCGGAGCCCTAAACGTCAATAAATGATACCCAGGGGTACCGAGGTCATTAAAAGGCCCAAAGGGTCTTGACCAAGCGTCAATATGTGACGAGTCGGGAGTGAGAACGTGATGGTTTATAATGGATGGCCTACAATGGGAAAAGGTAGAATCTGGTAGAAAACTGTAAAAATGTCAAATATAACTACTGTTCTTCTAAATGAAATGCTTACTTTACAAAATGCATGATTTTATAATGTAGGGATCATAAAGCGTGGTTTGAATAGAAGTCTATGAGGCCTTTTTTGCAACGAAGGTGTCCAGAGGGAGTACTTTGCAAATCTCTCAAATAATTCAACTGGCATTTAAAGGGTTAAAATCCAGAAAATAATTGATTATTTGGTATTTTTATGTAATAATGGGGGAAAAAAGCAGAAAAAAATATTGATATTGCAGTTTGTTTATGCATGTAAAGTTTTAGCCACGAAGGTGTCCACGGGGTGCAAAATGCATAGATAAGAGTATAAATGACATGTGAGAGTAAAAGATATTGGAATTCAAAAGAAGAGTTCCTGCAAAATTTCATGCCACAAGCTCTAAAACAGCCAAAATGATCACCAAATTTAAAAAAGTTGAGTAAAATGTACAAATATGCCCGAGGAGGGCATAAGGGTTAAATCACAAACACAAGGCGCTTCTTTGGTTACAGGCATTTATTCACACATTCACGTTGTCAAGCATGCCGTGAAAACTAGGAAAAATAAAATACACATATCATAAAATGAGTCGAATGCAATACAGAGCATTCTCATAGAGAATGATCATCAAACGAATATTTCACAACACAAAATAACTCACAAATCCATCACTTTGCAGGCGAGAAGCTGTTAAACTTGCAGATAATTAGCATGCTGGACGCTATGACGTTGTTATCATGTGAAACTCGGCTAATATATTAGCCGTGGTTAGCCTATCCAAAGCTATAAACAGAATGGAAAATAACGTACAAATAACGTCGCATACCTCATTTGCCGCGTTAACTCAAGGGGAGCAAAAGGAACCTTCGAGCTCTATGAGTCTTCACTCAATAAATCTTCATCACATCGCTCTACAGCAACCCCACTGTGACACAAGAATATTAGTTCCGCTATGAAATAAATTACCTGTTTAGACATACTTTATGTTGTCACGTGTATGTTCTAAAATATATTCAGATTAACAAACAAAAACATTGTTTTTAAACGTGTATATATATCGAAATTATTAAATGAACTTAAACGTTAGCTTATGCAGAGCGGTTGCTAACGTTATCCAGGGCAAAATACTGCAGTTGTATCGCTTTCAAACATTACTTTCCCAACTAACTCGATCCATGTTACTCTCCTGTGTACCGCCAGTATGATGTCAAAGTGTTGATTTAGCCTGCAAGAAAGGATGTAACTGTAAAAAGCAACAGATTTGTTTACTAGCCCATAGTGATGTAAGGCAGGGCAGCCAGCTAACGCTACATTAGCTTGACACCCGTCCCTTAAATTACGGAATCGTCCCGTATTTGAGAACTAAATGGCTGTTTGTCCCGTTGTCCTTAATGCTGCGTCCAATGCAAATCATTCCAGCTGCATTCTGTGAATACTTTTCTCCTTTTCTGCCCCCTGATTGGGTAATACTCGCTGCCACCGTTGGTTTCATTAATAGCGTCAGGTTCAGAGCCAATCAGTGTCAGATAAGGGCGGGTCTCTTGGCAGGGAGTCAAGTTGAAACGATGCGTCCCCTCTGAAACGAAAGTAGATGCAAAAGTACCGACAACGTTCTGTGTGGTGCACGGTGGCCTGTCAGACGTGTGACAGCATGCCGAGGCAGCGTAATGACTTAATAAAACGTGTTAATTTTCTGATTCCTCTGGATTTCATACGCTGCCTATTTGTTAATAAGTTCTGTGACAATGTAAATGAAGCACAGGCCTACATTATGGTGTGATTTGTTTTTAAGGTTGAGGTTTACAGTCAGACACATCAGCATTAATTTAATAAGAGATAAGAGAGATAGATTTAATATATTATATTATATATTATATTAAAATATAGTGCCTACTAGGTGTTGTGCTTAACCATCTATAGAATTGCCACCAGGCTGAAAAAAAACTGAAAACATAAATACATAAATATATTTACTGACCAATCATAAAAATGGTGTTGAATTAAATTTTAAATATTTGTAGAAAGGTTATGTGTGCTTTCATTGTTTGGATAGAATTACTGCAAAAAATCTGTGTTCACGCCGCCCTTTGCATTTACTCATCAGGAGCTCTGTGGAGCTTTTTCTGGTCATAGTTTTACTGCAGCAGTTTGAAAGACAAACACTCAGTGCGCACAGCTTCTTATCCACTGATGTTCATGGAAAATCCTTTGCAGAAGTCTTTCCAGTCAGTTCAGTTTAGACTTATTCTTGTTGTACCGATACTCAGGTACACAGCTTCTCCACCGGCTCAGTCGCTCGTTCACACCTGGTTACAATCCAAAAACTGCACCGCTAGTAACCGCTGAAAACTACATATAAGCTCGTCTCTTTTTAATTGTTATTATTGTACAGTAACCTCATGAACACATGCTGCTGCTGTTGTGCTCCTGAGGGCCACAGATGAACCGTCAGGAGATGTCACCTGAGTGTCTGTTGTGATTCACTTCCCAGGGTGCAACAGGAGCAGCTGGCGGCTATCTTCCTGTTGCTAAGGGCGAACCAGGAGGTGCTCGGGGAGGTGACGGAGGGCGACATGGAGGAGCAGCTGAAGCTCTACTCCCTGTGAGACGCCGCCGTACCGGCTGAACACTAAATCACAAAACCGGAATGTAAAATATTGTAGATTTACGTTTTGTTTTTGTTTTTTCTTTACCTTTATTTAACCAGAAAGAACCTCACTGAGATAACAAATCAGGTGAAACACCTGCAGTGTTATTATTTATTTAGTACAAATGAGGAACCAATAAAATTACGTGTGAGGGGAAAAAGGCCAGAGCTATTACACTGGAATTAATTTTACTGCTAAAATGCTGACTACTGATTTATTTATAGACAGTTACAGTATAACAGTTATATTCTTACTGTTTAACGTGAAATGCTTGTTATTATTAAAATGACATAAGCTGCAGAACTTGAGGCTAAGCCTTGGAGGAACATCAGACCAGCCTACACTGGAGTTAAACGGTGCTACGACGGCGGAGAAGATGTGGGTTAGTTGAGTCACACCAGAGTGATTTTGATTTTTTTGTTCTTGTAAGTTTCACACTTTCATCTAGGATTTTTGTTTTCTCGGTTTATTAACCCATCACCCTGGCAGTGAACAGTTAGGAGAATTTAATTCTAGCCTGCAGAGGGGCTCCATCTCAGAAACTGTCCCTTTAATTAATTAAGATTCCTCTCGAGGCTGCAGGGCTCGCTGTCTGAACGTCACGCTGGCGAGTTCACACGTTATAACAGCGGAACAAGTCGGGATTTTATAAATTTAATACTTCTCATCATCAACACCGAGTATAGATGTGGCGTGTAGTCCACGTGCAGGGTGACCTCGAGGTAACCACCAACAAAACCTGCTCGGAGGAGTTTAGAGATGCGGCGTGAAATTGCCATGGCAACAGACCTTTCGTAGTACGGGTTAATCGGGAAGTTGCACCCGACGTCGCTCCTGAAGTTACCTGGATAAGCCGGTGACCCCGCTGCGCAGTACAGGCCGCCGATGTTAGAGCTGAACCTGGATCAGCGTTTGCGTCCGGTCGCATCACGAAGGAACAGAAACTTTCACTCAGCAAACGTTAATGTGGTTACCCGGGCAACAAACATGGAGGACCAGAAGAGCTTTTCTCTCTTTTAATGGATTTCAGTGTGTTTTATCACATCACAGTTCGTTTTCTTACTCTGGCTCCTCGTGTGGTTTCCTGCTGTTGGTGCTCCGTCTGAACGCTGCCTCAAACCCCTCAGACCCCTCAGATCCCTCAGATCCCACAGACCTCCCTCCTGGCCCCTCAGACCCCTTAGACCCCTCAGATCCCACAGACCCTTCAGACCTCCCTCCTGGCCCCTCAGGCCTCTAAGACCCCTCAGATCCCACAGACCCCTCAGAACTTTCTCCTCAGGTACCTCAGACCCTTCAGACCTCTCTCAAGGCCCCTCAGACCTCTTAGACCCCTCAGATCCCACAGACCCTTCAGACCTCCCTCCTGGCCCCTCAGGCCTCTAAGACCCCTCAGATCCCACAGACCCTTCAGACCTCCCTCCTGGCCCCTCAGGCCTCTAAGACCCCTCAGATCCCACAGACCCTTCAGACCTCCCTCCTGGCCCCTCAGACCCCTCAGATCCCACAGACCCTTCAGACCTCCCTCCTGGCCCCTCAGGCCTCTAAGACGCCTCAGACCCCACAGACCCTTCAGACCTCCCTCCTGGCCCCTCAGGCCTCTAAGACCCCTCAGATCCCACAGACCCTTCAGACCTCCCTCCTGGCCCCTCAGGCCTCTAAGACCCCTCAGATCCCACAGACCCTTCAGACCTCCCTCCTGGCCCCTCAGACCCCTCAGACCCCTCAGATCCCACAGACCCTTCAGACCTCCCTCCTGGACCCTCAGACCCCTCAGATCCCACAGACCCTTCAGACCTCCCTCCTGGCCCCTCAGACCCCTCAGATCCCACAGACCCTTCAGACCTCCCTCCTGGCCCCTCAGGCCCACCAGTAGATGCAGGAGCTGGATTGCTTATTTCTCGCCTCATATTTGATCAGATCAGATTCTGGCTCAGGTGAAATCATTTAAAGTTCTCTTTCACTCACGCTTAAACCCCATTGGCTCACAGAACCAGGGGCCTTGAGAGAGGACAGCAGTTGGGCCCTTCTTGATATTTTGTCTCCGTTTTTGTCCATCTTTATGATAACAACTGTACGTGTTGCATTATGGGTAATGTAGTGTTTTCTAACTGGATCACATGTTCTCTGAAGACTTTTGAGTTTTATTTAAAATTAACTGTGTAATGACTTTTTTTCTTCATGACAATAAATATATAAGAATCAAACATCTGGACTGATGTGATGATATTACATTTACATTTTGTCAGAGGGTTTGTGCTCTAATTCCACCATGATTCACACAACACAAAGTTCGTCCTCCCCGATGTTCCAAACGTTCCTTTTGCTTTAAGGTAACGTGTTTAATGCTGTCACAAATTTAAAGTTGGTCGGACTAAATCCCCTGGAGGAGTTTGTTAAAGTAAAGTGTGTAAATTTGTACATCTGGACATGATACACGTACCACAGAAATTTTGTACACGTAGGTGAAACTTAGTCCGGAGGCTGCTAATGTAGGACAAAACCCATAAAATACGAAAATTTTCGCCGCATCTGAATTTTGTGTAAAGTTTGGTGAGTGTTTGAGTAAGTCCAGGCCCCCAAAATTGAGGTAATTAAACAAAAGAAGTTAAACAAACTCACAGACCAGCTTGTTTCAATGCTTGAGCCTTTTAATGTGTGAAAGACAAGAAAGTTCACTCTGCAGAATAAGGTTGTGCTAAAAGCAGCCTTTTCATAACACATCCAGCCTGCTCGTATTGAAGGCACGAGGCCTCAGACGACCCAGATCTTCTTAATTCACTTCACTTCTTAAGTAGCGTTACAGCGATAGAAGAGAAAATAAAGACGTGAAATGAGCTATAGAGGCCTCGGGGTACATATGAGACTGACAGCATGAAGAAACATCCATCGTGTTTGTGATTTTTCCAGCTGCTTCGTGCTTCTGCGTCAGCGCAGGAATCAGCTGGTTTTCTTTACACAGACAGATGGAAGGTGTCTGTTGCACTGCACGTCATCCCAGCATTTGTGGCCTGTATGGTCGGAAACACGTGAGAATAGCCTTTATTATCACCACTAGTGCATTACTCTCTCGTGCTAAATAATGTGTTTTTTGATTTACCTTTATAATTCATTTGCATACAGTGCTGACTATGAACATTATTTGGCTCCCCCCTGCACCAGTATGAAAAGGTGAAAGGTGTACCATCACTCCAGAACCAAGCACCCTCCTAGAAAACATAAATTAGACTTTAATAGATTAATAAACAACAATATTAACTCAATCAAACACTATAAAGATCATAAAAGCTTTGACAAAAGATTCTCATTACAAAGTCTGCTTTAAGTTCTGCAAAGAGGAACAACAGCACCGGTCTCAAGTTACAAAGTCCTCTAGTGGCCGTAAGAGTTATAAGCAAGTCATGTGACCTTGTTCGAGGAAGTCACGTCTCATGGCCTTCTAGGTGTGACCCCGAATAGTCGAGGTTCAGTGCCTTGTTTGGCTGCCAGTCTCAACATCGAATCTTCACAACGCTCAACGTGTGATTTTACATATTTATTATATTAATATACTGCCTATTACAATATAAATTTCAACATATAATGCTGGAAATAGAAATGTAAAAGTGCCATCGCTGCCGCACAAACGCATAACGTCACTATCCGTCGACTGATGTCAAATTATTATTGTTATTATTTCATTATTATAATTGTTAAAATGACGGAACTTCAGCCATAAAAATGTGACCTTTCGTAACAGTTAATGTTGTACCTCTGCACCGTCAGAGCCTCCGACCCACGTCCGTGGATTCCCGTGAGCTTTATCTGCTATCAGCCTTTGAATCTTACGATACTCCTTAGCTCCTCGGACAGATGCAAGGTTTGCACCCATGGACAGACAGTTTCTCTGCAGCGGAAAGAAACAGACAAGCACACAGTAAACATGAGTAATAAAAGCTAAAAGAAGATGCAAAGTTACCAAGAAGATGCAAACAGAACAAGCTCAACTTAGAAGCACTCTGCATCAAATCCAGATCATCTCATACCTCAGCTTGAGCCCAAGTCAAGGCTCTTGGAACGAACTGGAAACAGCGACCGCTGATTTCAGACCAGCTACCTGAACAACATGGTGACCTCTTGACCAGGTGACTCTTTGCTGAGAACAAAGTGAGTAATGTTTAAATCTCTATTACTTTATCACCATATTGAATAAGTTTATTTTCATAACATGACACAATATAACATAACAAAGTAGTATAACACAGTGTAATATAAATTACATAATAACAACGCGCACTGACCCGGTTGGCCTTTTTCAGGTGTTGCCTCTGGAAGAGCTAGAAAGTTTGACACAGCAGTTATTGACCTGGACTGTTATCGTACAACACGTTCATCTGTAACACTTTCTGTTCATGAAACTGACCCGCAGCTCTAGTCAGAGCCATCGCGGCACAAACAAGCGCAGACACAGCCAGCGTCTTCATTGCGGAGACGACGAGACGACAAACCCTTTGATTCAGAGAGAGACGAGTTGCTGAAGGGGAAGTCAGAAGATGGTGAGAGAGTTTGTAGCTGCAGAATTACTTTCTCTTCTTCCTTCTCAGCGTCTGTGGCTTCAGAAACACCAGCCCTTATATGCAGATACTAATCTTGTCATCTCTCAAAAACAGGGAACTGTGAGCGCAGACACAAACATACACAGAAATATTTTCACACACGGAATACTCAGAAACTTGAAGACAGCGTGATCCATTATGAACAGTTAGGACATGTGCGTAAACCTAACAGTGATATACTGCTGTGACGTCTTCCTCGCTTTGGCCATTGTTGCACTCTGACATTGTAAAGTGCCTTTATTCTCTTGCGTGTTACAACTACTGTATGACAATGTTAATTAGGCTGCGGATCCGGAACAATTTCATTTTATACTGGATTTGCTTCAGAGTAACTTCAGAGCCACCAGTAAGGAGGCAAAAAGCAGGATTAGGAACACAAGCAAATCAAGCATATCCAGAGTTTACACGGTACCAAAACCGAGCGATAACAGGACAGTTCAGGAACAACCCAAGATCTTCTTTAAGTGAATCTAACGGCCCAATAATGAGAGAGAATAACTAAAATAATAAACAGTTTACAGTTTAAAATTGCAGCTTGTATTTATAAACAAAAAAGGGAAAAGAAGGCCTTCGTGCAGTATGCAAAACCTTCTTCAGTTGTTGCCACTTGAGCAAAATGTACCAGAGGTAACCTTTATGTCAATAATGACTTATTGGTTATTGGTTAACTGACATCCATGACCGTCTGTAGCTACCTAGATACTATGTTTATGTTATAAAGAGTGTATCTCTATCAAAAGTAACACAACAATACAAGCTAGATGTTTTGTGTTAGCACCCTTGTATTTGATAAATAAACATGACTGTGACCTTGTTAATGTGGAACTGCAAACATCTTTTGTCCTTTAGCTTTAAAAAATTACATTTTTATTTTAAATATTCAGTTTCAAAAGTAACCCGACAGCCCAAACCTGAATTGTTTAGAATATTTCATATTATATTAAGGATATTATAAATATATAATATAAATATGCAAATGTGTGCAGCTAAAACAGGGGGGAAATGGTAAGATGGACATTGTTTATGAACCTGACATGATTAAAATAAAATAAGACTTTACTGATCCTGCACTGGGGATATTTGCATGTTGCAGCAGCTTATGAAATTAAAAAGCTGTTTACACTGCGTTGATGAGGCGAGCTGGGACGTAACATGATCACATAGTCTGTCCATGTTTCTATTCAAGGTTTACTGTGTGTGTGCTGCAAATGCACAGTATCTCACAAAAGTGAGTGCACCCCTCGCATGTCTGTAAATACCTGATTATGTCTTTTCATGTTTCAACACTGAAGAAATGACTCTTAGCTATAATGTAAAGTAGTGAGTGTGCAGCTTGTATAACAGTGTAAATCTGCTGTCCCCTCAAAATAACACATCACACAGCCGTTAATGTCTAAACCGCTGGCAACAACAGTGAGGACACCTCTAAGAGAAAATGTCCTAATTGGGCCCAAAGTGTCAATATTTTGTGGGGCCACCATTATTTTGCAGCGCTGCTTTAACCCTCCTGGGCCTGGAGTTCAGCAGAGCTTCAGGTTGGCTCTGGAGTCCTCTTCCTCTCCTCCATGACGACATCACGGAGCTGCTGGATGTTAGAGACCTTGAGCTCCTCCACCTTCTGTTGGAGCAGCCTCACAGATGGAGACATTTTCTGCACCAATTTATGGTAGAATTGTCTTTATTTATATATTTATTTATATATATATATTATATTATATATATATATGATTCAGATGACAATTCAAATATAATGCAGTCTGCAGCAGTTTTTTTTTTGGCTTAAGAAAAGTTTTTGAACAACGCACATTTTGACTTTTATAGTCATTTTTGGATGATTTACACACTCCGTACTTTAACAAACTCCTGCTAGAGAATTAGTCCGACCGACTTTAGATTTTCGCTGTCTTGTTTATTCCCATTGACAATTAAAAGTTGTACAAACGGTGAGTTTTTGTGAAACGGCGTGCCTGTGGCGTGGCGTCCAAAATCGATGATTTGCCATGACACAGGAAGTTGTTGTAACTTCAGTGTACATGCTCACATCTGTACCAAACTTTACGTGCTTGATAACTCTCCCACCCCGAACACAACTACATGTTCAGCTATAGTCGTAGTGCGAAGTGCTATGTAGCGCCACAAAGGGGACACAGGAAGTGATGATGAACACCTATGAGCAGCGCACTGTCAGAGCTCCAGAACGCGGCCGCCTCACACCTCGACGCGCTACACGTGCGAGGGCCCGCCCAACGCTGCTTGCAGCTTTAATTTGATATGTTTTCACAGAAAATGAGCCAAGGACTCTGAAGTTGAAATAAAAATACAACACAAGGGTTAAAAGAGAAGTTGAGGAATAATATTTCACCAGTGTTTTTATCTTATCTTCACTTTCTCACGATGCCAAGTCATCACTGAACGCTGTATCAGGCAGCACTTGTCACTGCTTAATGAGGAAGCATTACAATGTGGAAAATAACTGATGGGTTATTGTGAGAACACAAATATTGCATTTTTGATGATACAATCTTTATTACTTCTTTAAAATATGTTTTAGTCTCATCATGGGTATCATTTATTCAATAACCTTGATATACAGTGCCTTGCGAAAGTATTCGGCCCCCTTGAACTTCTCGACCTTTTGCCACATTTCAGGCTTCAAACATAAAGATATAAAACTGTAATTTTTTGTGAAGAATCAACAACAAGTGGGACACAATCATGAAGTGGAACGAAATTTATTGGATATTTCAAACCTTTTTAACAAATAAAAAACTGAAAAATTGGGCGTGCAAAATTATTCAGCCCCTTTACTTTCAGTGCAGAAGTTCAGTGAGGATCTCTGAATGATCCAATGTTGACCTAAATGACTAATGATGATAAATAGAATCCACCTGTGTGAAATCAAGTCTCCGTATAAATGCACCTGCTCTGTGATCGTCTCAGAGGTCCGTTTAAAGCGCAGAGAGCATCATGAAGAACAAGGAACACACCAGGCAGGTCCGAGATACTGTTGTGGAGAAGTTTAAAGCCGGATTTGGATACAAAAAGATTTCCCAAGCTTTAAACATCCCAAGGAGCACTGTGCAAGCCATAATATTGAAATGGAAGGTGTATCAGACCACTGCAAATCTACGAAGACCCGGCCGTCCCTCTAAACTTTCAGCTCATACAAGGAGAAGACTGATCAGAGATGCAGCCAAGAGGCCCACGATCACTCTGGATGAACTGCAGAGATCTACAGCTGAGGTGGGAGACTCAACAATCAGTCGTATACTGCACAAATCTGGCCTTTATGGAAGAGAGGCAAGAAGAAAGCCATTTCTTAAAGATATCCATAAAAAGTCTTGTTTAAAGTTTGCCACAAGCCACCTGGGAGACACACCAAACATGTGGAAGAAGGTGCTCTGGTCAGATGAAACCAAAATCAAACTTTTTGGCAACAATGCAAAACGTTCTGTTTGGCGTAAAAGCAACACATCACCCTGAACACACCATCCCCACTGTCAAACATGGTGGTGGCAGCATCATGGTCTGGGCCTGCTTTTCTTCAGCAGGGACAGGGAAGATGGTTAAAATTGATGGGAAGATGGATGGAGCCAAATACAGGACCATTCTGGAAGAAAACCTGATGGAGTCTGCAAAAGACCTGAGACTGGGACGGAGATTTGTCTTCCAACAAGACAATGATCCAAAACATAAAGCAAAATCTACACTGGAATGGTTCACAAATAAACATATCCAGGTGTTAGAACGGCCAAGTCAAAGTCCAGACCTGAATCCAATCCAGAATCTGTGGAAAGAACTGAAAACTGCTGTTCACAAACGCTCTCCATCCAACCTCTCTGAGCTCGAGCTGTTTTGCAAGAAGGAATGGGCAAAAATTTCAGTCTCTCGATGTGCAAAACTGATAGAGACGTACCCCAAGCGACTTACAGCTGTAATCGCAGCAAAAGGTGGCGCTAAAAGTATTAACTTAAGGGGGCTGAATAATTTTGCACGCTCAATTTTTCAGTTTTTTATTTGTTAAAAAAGTTTGGAATCTACAATAAATTTCGTTCCACTTCATAATTGTGTCCCACTTGTTGTTGGTTCTTCACAAAAAATTAGTTTTATATCTTTATGTTTGAAGCCTGAAATGTGGCAAAAGGTCGAAAAGTTCAAGGGGGCCGAATACTTTCGCAAGGCACTGTATATCATTGACCCTGGTACATTTTCCACAAGGGGCAGCAGCTTTGTTTATTTATTTAGATCCCCATCGACTACGGTTATTACAACATCAATGCATATACATATATGTACAAACATGCAAACATATGATATATTTACAATACTTGACTAACAAATGACACACCACAATAAAACCATCAGCACACATCACATAGCAACTGATTCATACACATTATAAAACACAAACATTGAGATGAAACAACACAATAAGTCACAACCTATCTAGTACAATAGAGAGCTCTAAAGAAATATATCAGCTGTAAGAGGTCTAAAGTGATCAATAAAGCAACACGCACATTTCCAATAGTTCTTTCCATCAATATAACATCTTTAAGAGGTATGGCCATGTTTGGCTTCTCCATCTCTTGTGTAACCAGCGCTTAAAGTGGGGCTGGTACTCACCAGTAGGCAGTACTGGCACTTCTACATGAACCTTCTGTCGTACCGGGACTTTTTTCTTGCGCACTGGCACTCGTCGCGAGCTCCCAGTACAGAGTAGGGAGGTGATCGGCTTCTTTTTCAAGCGTGTAGCCTACAGAAAGTTGCTCATCAAGGTCACTTTTCATGAACCGGCCAATCACAGCCTGCATGGGGCAGGAAATTCAAATAAAGGCACACTTTTGAAATGCTGAACTTGTGGTTTGTCTCAGTGGTGTAATATAAGAAAACGGTTTTATTTGGGAACTTAAAAGCTGTTTAAATGTTACAAACACTCTATAAACAATCTGTAGGCAGACTATCCAAATAAAGTTCAGATACC